TTCTATAGTATTAAATAAATGAGTGTTAAATATGTACCATATAATGATTGTGGCATAATGGTTGGAAGCCTTGCCTACTAGGCTTTTGGCCCAAGTTCGAATCCCAATAGCAGCAAAAATTTTTACCCAACAATGGTTATAAAAGGAAGGGGTAAAAAAGTAATTTCCGCGATTTTTGAGTGAAAAAATGAAGAAAAATCACACAACACGCGCGTGGGCAGCACCTCCGTTATCTTAGACGGTTTATGGTGCTTCGCGCATGCAAAAGTACATTACAAGGTGGTGTGACGCAATTTTTAAATTACGAGGGGAAAACGCGCAGATTTAGTATATTACAGGGGGGTTTGGTGCAATTTACCCCTATTCATCCACTCACATTATTTTAACTAGCCATCACATCAAATTTTTAAATATTATTTTAATATATCCACTAATAATTACTCATACTACCTTTTTTAAAATTAACCAAACTAAATTAAAAAATCCAACAAAACAAAAAATTTTCATATCCAAACATGCTAGCTTTAAGTAATAAACAGTTTTGAGTTGTTTGGTGCCGTAGGGCTACAAACGAAACGAATGGCTCGCGAGCGCTCGAGTCAAAACTCCACTTGAGCTCGAAATTGATTGAACTCGAGTTGAGCTCGAGCGGCTCGAGCAAGAACTCGAGTCGAGCTCGAGCCCATATTTTGCGGCACATCAAGCGGCTCGTCGAGCGGCTCGAGATATATGTTAAATTACTAAAATACCCCATATATATTAGCATAGATATTTAATTGTAATTTTACTTTTCCATTTAAAAATTTTCGAGCCGAGTTCGAGCATTTTGATTTCGAGTCGAGCTCGAGCTATTGAATTTTTTATCGAGTCGAGTTCGAGTCTCATAAATTGAGCTTGAGCTCGAGCAGCTAAAAAAAAAAGCAATCCTTCTCGATAAGACCAATGCTCGACTCGGCTCGACTCGTTTGCAGCCCTCCGTACTTGATTAAGATAGTGCGTTTTTACATATATGCCATCAAATAATGAAATTCATTTACAATTTTTTCCTCCCAGAATCAAGAACTGTGAATCTTAGTGTGATGTATTTTCAATAGGTTAGACCCATACTTTGTTCCGTTCTACAGATGTTAGTTGGAATTTTTTACCAAAAAAAAAAAATAAGTGGACAAAAAAAAAGGAAAAAAAAGGTGTGGAACAAAATAAAACACACGTATTCAAGGAATACGTTTTTTACATAAATTATTTAGAAGACGTATTCCTTGAATATGGCTTATATAAAGTTTGCAATAAAAACGTATTCGTTGAATACGTCTACACTAATTATCCTAATTAAGTAAATTAATCAACTTAACAAGGTATTTTATAAATACGTTTTCAAATTATTTTTTTTAAAAATTGTTTTTAACTATCCAAACGTATTTCTTAAATACGTTTTCAATTTTTTTTTTATTTTTTAATTGTATTAAAATATAAAGACGTATTTCATAAATACGTTTACGTTTTCGTTTTTTTTTTATTTTTTTTAAATAATTAAACCGTATTTATGAAATACGTTTTAAATTGTTTCATATTATTTAAATTTAATTTAAAAAGAAAACGTATTTATTAAATACGTTTTTATAAGAAAAAAATTGAAAAAACTTGTTAAAAATTCAAATTTTACACAAAAATCAAATATACCTGTTCGAGCAACTAATATCAACATATCTGCCCAATAATAATCCAACATACACTATAACAAAACAAATGAAAAAACACAATAATTTGTTAAACAAACAATATATACAAAACGATATAATTCAGTTTGTACATACAATCCAACATCTGAAAATGAAACACAAAATCCACGAATACATCACAACTAACTAATTAGGGGTGTATGTATCCGGAGGCCTGCGTTGTCTGGACCCTCTCCGAGCATATACAAATTGAGGTTGAGGTGTAAGAAGCGTGTCAGCTTGAAAAGTCTGGTCATCATCACCTGTGTAATTCAATTGGAAAAAACAAATCATAAATTGGACCGAAAAAAAAAATCACAATTTAAAAATCTCACCTTGCTGAGGCTCGGGCGGCTGAGGTATATAGTAGTCTTGGGCGGACTGATGCTGAGGTGAGAAGGGCTGGACCGGCTGAGGTATGTAGTAGTCTTGGGCGGACGGCTGCTGAGGTGGGGACGGCTGCTGAGGTGGGAAGGGCTGGGTGGACAAATGAGCGTGGGGACGGACCCGAGATCTTCTACCCCCACCAATGTTGGGGGCGGGATGATGCCTGGCGGCGTGTGACTGTGTCCTCATGGGGGGAATGTAGTCGCCCTGGAGAAAACTTGACTGGACGGCCCCCCATGTGGAACACTCAGGCCCCCAACAGTCAGAGAGGAGTAGGCATAGTTGTACGACTGTTGGAAGCTGGGTTGCGCTTCTGGAGGGATTTGATGCACATATGGCTGCATATCCGATAATCCGCCATAAATCCCGTATAGTGCAGAAGTCTGTAATTAAAATTCATAATAATTAGTATCAA